CAACAAGGGCAAGAAGCACCTTAACGGCGGCTCGCCGATGTCCTCTCCGGCACCATCCACTCCCATGTCATCTTCCAGACCGCCTCCAATCACCCCTTCACTTCTGCCTCCACCTCCACCTGATCCCGTTAAATCCCCCGAAAAGCGACCCCCTAGGCTCTCTACGTCGGTTGCCGCGCCGAAGGAGACGTATCTGGTGTCGGGCCGAGTACGGCAAATCATTAACCTCTTCGAGGACGTCCTGACCGAGGGCCAGAAATTCGGTGCTTCCAAAATCTTCGCCCCGATAGAAACCAGCTCCCCCCCGGGAACGGTCCTCAGTCAATCAGCCGCCTCAATACTAGATCTGTACCGCGCGTTGTACCCGGTCAAATTCGCAGGTAGACTCAAGTCCGCCCCGGAAGCTCCGATGCAGTTCTCGAACGATTGCCTGTATCTGAGCGGGGAGATCGCGCGGGTGGAAGCTGCCACTAATGTGGGTGCTCTGGCGCCCGTCAAGGATCGGCTCGCGGAGTGTCGACATCGCCTAAAGGTCCTCGGGGACAGCTGGTTCGAAGATACCGTTGTACGTGGCTAATGACTCACCCTCGCAATCGCACCCGCTCATACCACACAGGAGCAGCACAGACAGGCGGCAAACGATACCATCTTGCAAGGCGCTGGAGGATTTACTTTCACCGCGGATCAGGACCGGCATGATGAGTGCGAGAGCGCCATCAGTCGCGTTGTGCAAGATATAAAACGCATTGCCCAACGGTGGAAAGTTGGTGTACCGTCTTGTCTCCTTGATGGTCCACAACTCAACCTCTGTAGGGTATCTTGAACAAGAGCAAGTACTATATGGCGATCGGATTGGTTACGGATGCTGCGGTGTCGCGAGTGCTCGAGGATGTGTTGGCCCTACCGGATATACCAGAAGTGGAATCGCACAGGCTGAGCGAGCTCTGCCGGATCTTGCACGGCTTGGAAGCCCTCTTCGTTGAAGACGCGAACCAGGCAAGCTGTCTATGAAAGATCGAAATTCACAAACTGACGTCCTTTGACAGGAACCATTTGTGGTAGACTATGTTCCCTCCTGGTTTAAATTTTCGTATCTATCTGAGCTCTTGGTGCGTGTCGTGATGCCGGTTCATTTCACCCAATTCATTTCCTGTGCGCTGTAGGAGGCCTCCATGGTCGACATTTCATATCTCTTCGACAGTGGCGCTTTGGTGGACTTTGAGGTCGACGAGCTAGTGGGATTAGTGCGAGCACTATTCGCCGACACTGCGCTACGGACCAACACTATAAACAAACTCACGGCTGGACGACCGTAGTAGTTACACCATATATGCATATCTGCTTCGCGACCTCGCTACCAGAGAAAATTCGTCATCTATGGCCGATTCATTCCGGGTAAGAGCTGGTAAGCTGATAGTGGGCTGCCGTCATATGTACATGTGGCGGAAGATATGCTCATATGACGTTTGACAACTATGTACACAAATTCGCTTGTTATTCTTGCATACTCCCCGCAGCTTTCTTGTCCGTATAATTCTTGAGCCTGAAAAAAAATGAGTCATTACCCCCATCAAGCAACGAATGGAATTACCGCTTGTAATCTCTCTCAACTTTCACCTCTGCGGTCATTTTGGGTTTGGAATTCGTATCTCCCTCGTCCTTTCCGCTCTTTTTCTTGTCTTTACGCTTCTTCCACTTGTCCGAAGAATTGGCCGCCTTATCCATAGCAAGCAAGTCCTTGATGGAAGGTAACGCGGAGCTTGCGAGTGGAACCAGGCGAGTGGGTTGCTCCAGCTCCCCTTCGTCGTCGTCATCTGCAGAGCGGGCTGGAGGTTTATCATTAACAGGCGCCAGCGGTAGTTTTGAGCTGGAAGAGAGAGGCTCTGGTTCATCGTCCTCGAACCATTTTCGCGGGGGTGGAGCGTCGGTGAGCTCCTCGCCATCTTCGAGCTCGGGTTTATCAGGCTCTACAGCGGGAGGTTCATCATCCTCCTCCTCATCACCTAGATCAATGCCTTCGTATTCCCCTGCACCCGCGAATATGTCAAAATCATCAGGCATATCATCCTCGGGCGGGACCAGCGTGGAGGATGAAGCTGTGGGAGCAGGATCTGAGGGGAGGGGCGGCGGAGGAAGAAGGGACGATGTCTCGCCAGCTTCGCCCTTCTCTACTGCCCCTTCAACTTTACGCTTCTTCTTTTTTCTCTCTCCCTCTACCCCATCCCCTTTGGCCTTCCTCCTCTTCGGTTTTTCCGCAACACCGCCTATTGGCTTGAAACCTATAGGCTTGAATTTCCCTTGCTTCTTGGCGGCTTCAATGGCGTCGTCATTCGGTTTGGATTCGGGTGTCGTGGCGGTATTCGACTTGATGCCTCTCTTCTCCTTTAATTCACGTAACAAGTCCTCCCGTGTCCGCTTTTTTGGGACAGTGGTTTCGGATGCTACGGCCATGAAGGCTTGTTCGAGTGAATCATCGTCAACGGTGGATAGGGACGCCTTGGCCTTGTTCTGCTCCAGTAGCGCGAAATCGAGTCCTTTGACAAGTATAGAGTGATCGCTGTCTCCACCAAGATACTTTCTCTCCTCGTCGGTCTGTAAAAAAAAAAATCTGTACTTGAGATCGTCGCGATAAAATCCCCCAACCTACAGCGTTATTGTCTCCGAGGCGTTTCTCAAAGTCTTCAAGAACGGCTTCTACCTTGAGGGGTCGTTTAAATGACATTTTGAAGACTACAGTAGGAGAAGCGGAGACGCACCTGGGCGTAGTCATTTCCCTCACCAACCCTTCTCTCCGCGGCCCTGTCGCGATATTTGCCTTCCGACTTCTTGACTTTTCGAGGCTTGAAAGCGGGTTCGGAGGCATCGACTGTCTTTCTTCTATTATCGAACGCGCGTTATTCGAGTTGATTTCCTGGAAGGGATCCGACGCACGTTGAAGCTGCAGTACCAGCAACGAGAAGGGATCCGCGAGATCTCTGGATTGTTTGCTACCCCCCGAGCCCGATTCAAGCAAGCGACGGAAAGAGTCCTAGCAAAAAAATGAGCGTACAAGATCGTATTAGTTGACAGAGGTGAACGAACCTGATCCATGTGTTTGAGTTTCTTGATGATACCAAACAGAGACCATCCTTGCCTTAAACCTATGGGTGAAATATTAAAACGATCCGTTCCTCCTTGCTCGAATGCTGGCTCACTACGCTCCTCGTCGTATTGATTGTGGATGATGCATCCGATGGCAGAATTCAATCCAGTTAAATTACGCGGGGCATATATATTCCTCCACTATCCGGGTTGAAAGGGACTTCCGTAGTCCCCTAAAGCCGCATGTCGACAAAATATACTGCTCTCGCTCGCGACAGTCGCCGTGTTCCACGGTCAGTCACCTCTACTAGCCATTTGGCCTCCAATTGACTTATCGGCAGCCGCGTTCTCCACATATGAGCGTACGCCTTTTTGTTGCGCGACGTTAACACGTCTCTTAGTAACTCTCTAGATCTTTCCCACCTGAAAGCCATGGGCCGGCCGGAGGGCTCCTTGCCCACAGATGTTCGTGCCTTGCTCCCTGGAATAACGCAGCTCAGCTCATCGCGTAAACACAGATCATTCTCGAGGCTCTCTTGGCTTTGGTACTCGGCACAATAGGTGCCTCGCTCAACGCGCCTACCCTAAAAGAAATAACCTGGGCCGCTGAAATGCGAAAACGGTGTGTACGCCGTGTGATTTTGCGGTGTTATATCTGACACCACCCACAGGACAATAGACGAGATGGACTCGCGCTTGGGATTTGCTAGCTTTGTCAACCGCGGAAAGAACTTGTTCTCCGACCCCACTATACATAACCCAAAACAATTAAAGCAGTAGCATATTCCTCCCAGAAAAGTGGTCCGGACCGTAAGGAACTTGTACAAATCGCCGCCACAAGTCCGCTGGCATCTTCTTAAATGCGACCGAGCCACGAGCCATGGCGAACATCGAGGGCCGTTTCAAGGAGCTGGCGTTCATCGACCAAGTGGTCGCGTATGAAGACTTCAAGGGAACTGTTGCGCCGCACTTGGTGGCACAAGTCACAGTTGCTCGGGGCGAATGAGGTAGATTGTCGCCGTTGCCTCATGGTACAACCACGGGCACTTCCACATTTTGGTGAAAGACCAGGAACCCGTCCTGATAGACCTTGAGAAGCTGCGAACGTCGTACGAACATTTTCCCGGGCTCGTGCCCGAAGAATATCCAGGTTGCCCGTGCTACTAATTTGGCAAGAGGTTTGGCCGTCAGTGGATGTCATTGCTTCAATCAGTCCAACTTTCTTGATACCACGCTATAGCGGAGGTTCTAGTCTCATACACATACATCCCGTTCCGGGAACCCTGTCATGAGGGTCTGGGCCGTAACCAGCTAGTTAGCCGACATGTGTGTCTCGCATCGGGACCCCGGCTTTTCCATCACCAAAATTGCCGGTCGTCACAGCCACCAACTAGGACCCCAGCACTTTGCGACCTTCATTGCAATGGAATCCGGGCCCCAATAAATCTAAGAATATTGTGAGGTGATTGCAGTATGAGTTATTAAAACTTTCTCTCCCAAGTTTGCCAGGAAAGCATTGGGAAGTGCCTAAACAAGACCTCGAAAAAGTCGAGAAACAAGACGCACATGCCCGATTAAGTAGCTGGTTACGGCCCAGACCCTCATGACAGGGTTCCCGGAACGGGATGTCATGAGGGGATGTGTATGAGACTACGGAGGTTCCTGTTGAACAGGTACTGACAGAAACCTCGTTCGATTTTTCGACTGCTGGGCAATAATGTGGAGGGGTTTTTTTTTTTTTTCAAAGGCGCGCGGAGGGAACGTACGCGGACGAATAAAATATCAGGTGCGCAGTCGTTAAAAAAGATGTCCTGTAAAGGACGTTGGAACAACAGCATCGCTTCGTAGGGTCGGCTCCTGAAGTTCCTCGCGAGCGGCCCGGGAGATCTCTGGTCTCCGCGGTCTCGGCCCTAATTTGTCACCCCTACGCGGGAATCGAACCCACGGCCTCCCGGTGTCGAAGCATTTTCAACGGTCCGGGTATTCTACCACTGAACTATAGCGGCGACGACGACAGCAAAATTTCGGTGAATATATATGCCAAAATCTAGGGTACTTACTTTCCAAGTCCTTTCTCGTTTAAACACTAATGTTGGGATTGACAGCTGAAGCGCTGAAGCACCGCCAGGCAGCACCAGTCACGAACGCACGTCAAAGGCTGTAATATTCTGTAATATTGCGGAACCAAACTTGGCATTAACGTAATGCGGGGCTCCCGTGTTATCCCCGTGGGGTGAGATGCGTCGACGCGTCAGTGGCAGTGCGGTGGCGGTACCACTTCTACGTCTAATATCGTTTACGAGCGTCTATGGTCCTACGGCCATGCACAAATTTACTTAGTACTCAGGGGGTCGGTGCCGCCAGGTGCGTGACTTCGAGGTGCGCAGAGCTCAGGCCTATCAGCGATCTTCGGCGTGTTGACTATGAAGACGGCCAGGCACCAGCCACGACGGATGGAACTGCAGTGGCAACGACAGCAGCAAATCAGTGAATGTGGATAATTGCCTTGCTGGCGCGTCAGTGGCAGTGCAAACACTATAAATCGGTGATCACGAGCAAACCCGCTTCCTCACCACAACCACCATGTCCTCTCGCTCGTCCCGCGTTACCAAAGCCCTTCTCGCTCAGATTGAATCCCCAGACTACTCACCCGAGTGGCTTCCGTTCCTAGATGCTCAATCTTTCGACTCGCTCAGAGCGCCACCGACCTCAGAAGAACCAGTCCCGCTCTGCGACGTCTATGCCGGCGAAGGGAGAGGCGTTATGAAGTATGTTATATTCAAGATAATAGTCGATGCGGGCGATCTCCTTCACAAACCCGGCGATTTCATTGAAGTGAGATTCATTCTCATACTACGTCGGTTCATTATTCCAAAGTCTAATTCCTCCCTCCTCAAGTCGATCACAAATTCCGTCATCTGTCCCGATATTTTGCTCGCTCTGCTCGACAAGCTCGACTCTCGCTCTCTGGAAAATGACGCTGGGTCGGATATCCAAAATATTTTCCTTGCTTTTGTTGGGGCGCACTGGGAGCAGGTCTTTCAAGACACCGAGGAGACAGCGAAATGGATTCGCCCCATGTTCGAGCCACTGGTTCGGGCTGCTACCGCAGCGTATGAGTAGGTTTTCTACACACTGGACACGGAGTGTAACATACTGAAGTAAATTAGCAACCCCAAGGCCTCGAACCCACCGAAGGCACGAAGGGCCCGATTGTCGACTAAGGCTAACGAGCTTGAAGAGTCCCGCATTGCCCTAAGTGCGATTTTCATCTTTTGTCCTTCGCCAGCCGCGATATTTACCGCCTGTAGAACATACCCTCTTCAACAATTTGGAGCGAATTCAAAACGAGGACATCAAGCCCGCCCCCGAGGGATCTCCCAGGCCCATCATGTATTACTCGCCGCCCGCTGTAAGTCCGCTTTCTTGGTGTTCTCTGGTCCACGATCGAATTTTCTTCCAGATCACGTCGTTTGACCTTTTGTCCCGCGACCTCTCCCCCCTGGCTCCCGCATTCATCGACACTACCGCCTCCCGGACCGCGGGCCCCCACACTCCTTCCCAAGAAGCCTTCATGGTTTGTCGCCGCCCTTCCGTCCACGCCGACGCCAGACTTACAGCCATCCAGGAGTTCTTCATGTGGCCGGAGATCCCCAGTCCAAGCAGACTCGAGGAGGAGTTGGGAGTTCCATCCGAGCGACCAGTGGGCTCCATTGCAAACGTAGGGCGGTTCTCCGTTCCCGGCTTACCATTCTAACTGGACCTCCATAGCGGGACCTTGTCGCGACGCGCACGCTGTGCAACCTTAGTGTCGATCAGAATGTCAGCCCGCCGGGCGCTGGTCCTGCTACTAGTCCACTGCTGCCCGCAATTGAGGTGACCGCGTTTCGTATTCCATGGAATTTATTCTGATGTTATTCTCAACGTCTCTAGCTTAGCACGGCCAAAGTATGGGCTACTTGCTTACTTCCGTCCAGGCGTTGCCTTAACTTTTGTAGACTGTTCGTGATAAGGCTGGAGGTGCCGGCCGTGTCGCGGGCGCGCCCTCGCAGTCGAACTTGGTACGGCTTTTCTCCATCCGCGAAAATCCTATTCTAACGGCCCACATAGGGCGTTCCCTCGCCGAAGGTTCCCGGTCCGTCTGAGGTACCGGTATTATCATTCCTCTTCGTTACTTGTTTATATGCTCAACGCCATTGTCACCTCTCGCAGGCGAGCAAATCACCCCGCACCGACGTCCGTAACCTCCTCACTTCGTCGAGAATCTCGCTCATTTTTTGCGTGTTTCTAGGCGACGGCCGACAAGACTCCCCGGAGCCCATTGACGCCGAGAAACCGGTAGCTTAATTATACACTCTCTTTCCGCATCTACTTCACTCTTCTGGTTCGACAACAAAATGTAATGTCAAGTTCTGTATTTTATTGTATGTACTCCTTGGATGTCTGTAGCGAATTTTATCACGATTTGGTTTCACGCGACCTCAGCGAGCCGAAAACTCAGTGGGGGGCATCCGGGTCTGCCCCACCTTGTCTCCCCGCTTGACGGAAGGTTGGGAAACACCAGGTAACGCATGACATTGCTCCCCCACCATCATGTACCGATCAGTCTAAGAGAACAACTCGCGAAAGGACGACAATGTGTTTAGTACCAGCATAGCATACATAACATGGCTCGATAAAGCATACTACAACTACGGACGATCCAGCTTAGACGGCAGGGGGCTTGGAGCCAGGCTGGAAGGTGTAGGTCAGCCCGCACTTGCCGCAGTACTGACGGTCGGCATGGAAGGCCATCTGTCCGCGAATAAGCTGCTGCGTGCGGAAATCAAGGGTTGGATAGGCTTACGAAGACGCCGGCACCGCACTCGGCGGTCGGGCACTCGCGGCGGAGGCGCTTGATCTTGCCGTCGGAGTCGACCTTGTAGTACTTGAGGATGGCCATCTTAACCTTCTTGCGCTTGTGCTTGATCTTCTTGGGGGTCTGGAGGGACATAGTGAGTACGCGCAGAACAGGCTAAAAAAACAACGGACGTTGTAGGTCTTTTTCTTACGCTTCTTGGCACCACCACGCAGACGGAGCACCAGGTGAAGGGTGGACTCCTTCTGGATGTTGTAATCGCTGAGGGTGCGGCCGTCCTCGAGCTGCTTGCCGGCGAAGATCAGGCGCTGTTGGTCGGGGGGGATCCTGACGAGACGTGAGACACAAGCAGATGGGATGGGGAAGCGTCGACATACCCTTCCTTGTCCTGAATCTTGGCCTTGACATTGTCGATCGTGTCCGACGACTCGACTTCAAGAGTGATGGTTTTGCCCGTGAGACTGGAAAAAAAGAAAGAGTCAGAACAAGGGCAACGGCGAAGAGGAGGATACACACGTCTTTACGAAGATTTGCATCTTGCGCGCTACGGACGCTTCGGTCTATCCAACGAAATCAACGATGAAGTCTTTGACAAAAGCAAGTGCCGGTTCTGTTCAAGGTGCAAATTTCTGTCTGTTTGGCTTTTGTATGGTAACCCTAACCCGACAGAACTGCAATTAAGGTTCAAGCCCAACAAGCAGCAACAGCCCTCAATTAACGCGTCCACCACCACCATGGACTCTGACGACGAGATGCTCGATGTCGAGCAGATTCCTACCGCGGCAAAGGGCAAGGGCAAGGCCGTCGACAAAGACCGCCCCTTTGACAACGACAATCTTCCCTGGTGCCGTTGCTCTCCGTCGCGTCTGGCCGCGTCTGACGCGTCTTTAGGGTCGAAAAGTACAGACCAGTCACCCTTGATGATGTCGTTTCCCACAAGGACATCACAACCACGAGTAAGCATCATCACTTCGACTCGGGGACAGCCTCTTATTGCCATAGTCGAGAAATTCATCGAAAAGAACCGCCTGCCACATCTCTTGTTCTATGGCCCTCCGGGCACGGGAAAAACCTCGACCATCCTCGCCGTCGCACGCCGAATATACGGCTCCGACTACCGAAAACAGATACTCGAGGTGTGTTTTTACCCTCCTTTCACACGTCGCGCTCACCCGGGCTCAGCTCAATGCATCGGACGACCGCGGGATCGACGTAGTGCGCGAGCAAATCAAGCAGTTTGCCGAAACGCGCACGCTCTTCTCCAAGGGCTACAAGCTCATCATACTGGATGAGGCAGACATGATGACCCAGCAGGCTCAGGCTGCTCTCCGCCGCGTCATTGAGCAGTACACTAAGAACGTCCGCTTTTGCATCATCTGCAACTACGTCAACAAGATCGCCCCTGCCATCCAGAGTCGATGCACGCGCTTCCGCTTCTCCCCCCTCCCCATCGTCGAGGTCGAGAAACGCCTCGACGGCGTCATCGAGGCGGAGCAGTGAGTTACACCCTTATACCCCTGTTCGGCTTACCGACGCGTCTGCAGCGTCAAGGTTACGCCGGACGGCAAGGCCGCGCTGCTGAAGCTCTCCAAGGGCGACATGCGTCGTGCGCTGAACGTCCTGCAGGCGTGCCACGCCGCGTACGACCTCACCGGCGAGACGGAGATCTACAACTGCACGGGCAACCCACACCCGGCGGACATCGAGACGATCGTCAACTCGATGCTCTCCGACGAGTTCACGACCTGCTATACGAGTATGTTTGTTCCCCTCCACCAATCTGCGAGCCTGACACGCAGCAGTGATTACCGCGATGAAAACTGAGCGCGGGCTGGCGCTGCAGGACCTGCTCACAGGCGCGTACGACTACATCGAGGGTCTCGAGCTGAAACCGCACGCCCGCATCTATCTCTTGGATTACCTCGCCACTACCGAGTACGTGCGCCCCCCTCAACCGCACTGTCGTGCTGACCCGCTAACAGACATCGCCTGTCGACGGGCGCCAGCGAGAAGATCCAGCTGACGGCACTGCTCGGCGCATTCAAGAACGCGGTCGAGCTATCCGCAAAATAAAATAAATGCTTTCTGTACATAAATGCTTTCGATACCAAGATACAATGCGCCCAATCTATGTAATGCAATATTAAC